CCCCCCTCCTCACAGCTGCCGAGGTGAAATAAGCACATGGGACAAAAAAGAACAGAAGCTGGAATGATGACTCTACTTGGAGGAAAGGAGCACGGAGCAGGTTTGCTGGGGAAATAGCCTGACAAGAGAGAATGAGGTGGTTTGGGAAAACTCGGGCTGTGAGTTCTGTTATCTCTGTGTGTGTGTGTGTGTGTGTGTGTGTGTGTGTGTGTGTGTGTTCGCGCCTGTGTATATACTAGGAATTTAAATGTGTTTATGTCTTCATATCTGCACTGTAATATCTCAACAGGGATGTCTATTGTGAAAATGAATATTTTGTCATCATTTAAACACGTTGTTCCAGAACTGAATTCATTTATTTCTTCTATGGAACAAGGAGGAGAAATTTTGAAAAAATGTTCATGCTGCTCTTTTCCATATGATGGAAATAAATGAGGATGGGTGATGCTGAACACCAAAAAATGCCATAAAAACATTCTAAAAGCATGACAAAATTTCCTTCATATGACTAATGCGCTATGTTTTTATGGTAACACTTTAGTTTAGGGATCGATTCTCACTATGAACTAGTTGCTTGTTAGCCTGCATATTACTAGAATATTGGCTGTTTATGAGTACTTATAAAGCACATATTAATGCCTTATTCTGCATGACCATACTTTAGATTCCCTAAATCTACCACACACCTAACATAACAACTACACTCTAAAAAAATACAACCCAGCATTGGGTAAAATATGGACAAACCCAGCGATTGGGTTGTTTTGACCCAGCATTTGGGTTACTACCCAGAAGGTTGGGTTAATCATTTAGCCCAACCGCTGGGTCCTTCTATGGAACAAGGAGGAGAAATTCTGAAAAATGTTCATGCTGCTCTTTTCCATATGATGGAAATAAATGAGGATGGGTGATGCTGAACACCAAAAATGCCATAAAAACATCCTAAAAGCATGATAAATGTGCTTCATATGACTAATGCGCTATGTTTTTATGGTAACACTTTAGTTTAGGGATCAATTCTCACTATGAACTAGTTGCTTGTTAGCCTGCATATTACTAGAATATTGGCTGTTTATGAGTACTTATAAAGCACATATTAATGCCTTATTCTGCATGACCATATTTTAGATTCCCTAAATCTACCACACACCTAACATAACAACTACACTCTAAAAAAATACAACCCAGCATTGGGTAAAATATGGACAAACCCAGCGATTGGGTTGTTTTGACCCAGCATTTGGGTTACTACCCAGAAGGTTGGGTTAATCATTTAGCCCAACCGCTGGGTCAAAAGAACCCAATTGCTGGGTTTGTCCATATTTTACCCAGTGCTGGGTTGTATTTAACCCAGCATTTTTTATACCTTACTAGCTATTAATAAGTAGCAAATTAGGAATTTTTTGAAGCAAAGGTCCTAGTTAATAGTTAATGGTGAGAATTGGTCCCCAAACTAAAATGTGACCATTTTATAAAAAAATATATATATTTGCATGAGTTTTGACAATAATTAGGCATCATCGACAAAAGTATTTTCATGTTGCACATTTGATAATATATAAACACAAAATATTAGTGCTGCAGCAATGATTCCAAGTAAATAAATTTCACAATGCTAAAATATATGGCTATATATTATTTTAATTGATAAAAAAGAAAAGGATAAGTGCTATCCCATGGCTGACAGAGGAAAGTGGGGTTTCTGGTTATTCTGTTCTTGCTGCAGATGTCTCACGGTGTGGGTCTGGCTTCTATATAAGAGGGGTTGACCGAATCAAGCAGCCCACTGAATTATCCCCAACATAAACATCTGTACCCGCAGGAGTCAAGTACTCATGCATACATTACAACTTCAAGTGGCTTCTCCTACTGCCATAAGCGTTGTATTGGGGAGTATGTCTGGGTGAAGAGTGTGTTTGTATAGAACACGTTACCCAATCAGCTGATCCTTGTTCTGCTCAACTACAGTGGGCGGCACGTTGGATACGACCACCTGCATGTCCAGCTGGTTAACCACTGACACCTGGGAGAAAAGACAAAAGTAATCTCTGGTTATAAAAGAGAAAATTATAGCATAGAATGAAGGCTCTGAACTGTAACATTTTAAATATATGCTGTTTCTTTGATTGATGAAACTGGGAGACAGGAATGAGTTAAAAAAGGAAACTCAATTAATGGTAAATCTCTGCTTACTGTACATTAGAAATAAAGAACCAGCCAGCAATTTATATATTTGTTTATATACACTTGTGTTGTTATACTGCACTAAAAAACAAAACTCTAGCATCACTTGTTTGCAATGCCACTTTATTGGATATTTTAAATCTAATGCATTGAAAAAGCAATGCAATGAAAATTCTCTCATCATTTACTCACCCTGCTGTCCCAGATGTATATGACTTTCTTTATTTTGTGAAACACAAACTAAGATTTTTAGACAAATAATCAAATCTAAATCGATCTAAAAATCGTGTGGTTTGTGTTAAACCCAAGAAAGAAAGTCAGTATTTAATTCAAGCTCTGAACTTTAAGAGCGGTCTATCTGGCATTAATTAGATGCCCTTACTTCTACATGTTTAACTCGCAGGTTTAAGTGCAGGTTGAAGATATTGAGTTATATTGAGAGATTGATTTATGGGTTTAAATACTGCTGGTGCCCCTCAGCCCACCAAAAAATCAATGCCTCTTTTACATCAGCTTTGGACGTCCTTCAAGAAAGCTTACAGGGACTGTATTTTTCTAATCAAAATCAGCTAACGAAGTTGCTTCTGCTGTAAAATCACATGATGGATTGCATCTCAAGACAGATTACTGCTTTAAACTTTAATCAATCTATTCAAACTGGCTTGGGATTGCGTATTTAAAGTGTGTAATTTCTTTCCTTCTTACAACACCAGAATTGTTCTGATTCTGATGCCACTTAATGATTCTGGTTCCTTGATAAAATTCTATGGTACATAGTTTTCGACAACATATTTTTTAATTTATTATTATTATTATTAGTCTTAATCCAAGTAACATTTATTAAAACAAAATTATGTTCTGGATTTGTATCTTTAACCAGGGGCTTTCAAACTGAGGTCCAGGGCCATAAGGGAGTACTAGGGGGTCCATGGAAAAGTAAAAACAGTGGGTAAAAACAGTAAAAAAACTAATAAAATAAAATAAATAATTAAATACATTAATTGAAGTAAATAGAAATAGACACTATATTAAAATAAATAACAAATAAAAATAGTCATTATTTAAATAAATATAAATATTACAGCTCACAGTATAGTACAATATTGAGTAGAAAAAAATAAATGTAATAAAAATTTCACATTTTTCACAGTATAAATTGAGTCTTTATGCATGGAAATTTATAGCTGCTTTTTAAATTTAAGATGGGGGTCCCTCGCCCAAGAACAATCGTATTTGGGGTCTGTGGCTTAATTACACAGATGTGAATTAAAGTGAAGACATGACTTCAAAGTTAAGTTCAGTGAGTCAGATGTCATATTTATGACTGATTCAGTGAGCAAGGGATCAAACTGATAAATTTATTATTCTTTTTGTGAGACTTTTTGACTGATTCGTTTAAAAGAACCTGCTCAAAAAAGTATTTTTTTTTCACAAATCTGTCATTTGAATGAGAAATAGGCCTACCACCAAAAACACTCAACTTTATGCTGCTTGATCACATACGTACCACCACTTGAGCGCTGCTGCTGAGTCCCACCCCGTAGTCATCGGTAGCAACCACGTCAAATTTGAAGTAGGAGCGCCGCATGTTTCTGTACATGATGGCTGTCTTAATTACTCCTGTGAAGGGCTCAATAACAAAGCCATCTTTGCCGTCAGTAGTTGGGGGGATAATCAGCCTGTACAGCATGGCGCTGTAATTCCCTGTGTCCTTATCCATAGCCTGTCATATACAATAGAGCACAGACATGTCAAAGAGAGGCATAGCCACAAGCTACTTATCACCTACAACACTCAACCTCTGCCTTCGCACGCACTTCCACCTCTGGTCTTTAAGGGGAGCTCCAAGCTCCAATTTCACAGCACCGGCGTCACTTTGGCTCCGTCTCAGCTGAACATTATAGCACTCCACTGCGGTGACAATGATTTATAATGGCTTTTTACAAAGAGAGGGGAACGGGCGGCTCCACGGACAGCAGGGTGCCCCGGACCAGGCAGAGTCATTAACACAAATGAGACTTTTTCCAATATGCCTGTGAGACCGGTTTCAATAAATACAGTAAGTGTGTATTAAAAGCCCTTGCAAACAAAAGGTCCATCTTTTAATTGGTTGTTTAGTGAGATTGAGCGTGGACAGAACGCACGACTCGGCGGCGGAAACCTCTGATCGCCTCTGTGGCGCAGATCTTGAGTTGAAACTGTGAAATTGAATTTGTATTTCCACAATAGTCTCCTTTTCTTTTCTTTCTTTGCGTCTCTATCCCAGATTAAACTCAAGGAACATCAAAAAGGCAATGTTTCTCAAAAGGCCGATATTTTTCCAATATGCATGGAAGACCCGTTTCAATGGGGTCTTTTAATTGGTCATTTAGTGAGGCTGAGTGTGGACACAATGCACAACTCAGAAGTGGAAACCTTTGATTGTCGCTGCGCACAGATCTTGAGTCAAAACTCACAAAAGTCTCTTTCTATTTTCTTTCTTCACGTTTCTACCTTAGATTAAACTCTAGGAACTTCAGAAAGACACTGCTTTCTCAGAAGGCCAATATTTTTCAATATGCCTTGGAGACACATTTCAGTTAATACAGAAAGTGTCTATTAAAGTCCCTTACAAACAAAAGGTCTTTTAGTTGGTCATTTAGCAAAGCTGAGTGTGGACAAAATGCGCAACTGACATAAAACTTTGATTATCACTGTAGTCGAAACTGTGAAAGTGAATTCGCATTTCCACAAAAGACTCTCTCATTTCATAATGTTTCTACCTTAGATTAAACCGGAGGAATATCAGAAAGGCAATGTTTTCTTAGAAGGCCAATGTTTTTTTTTTCTAATAGACTCATCTCACTTAATACATACGTAAGTGTGTATTAGAGGCCCTTGCAAAACAAAAGGTCTGTCTTTTAATTGGTCATTTATCGAGGCGGAGCGTGGACAGAACACGCAACTTGCTGGCGGAAATCTTTGAGTCGAAGCTGTGAAATCGAATCTGTATTTCCACAAAAGTCTCTTTTTTTTTTTTTATTTGTTCTCAGATTAAACTCGAGGGACATCAGAAAGACAATGTTTTCTCAGTAGGCCAATAGATTGCTTAAACTAATTATCAGATCAGGACAGAACAATGGATGCAGGGCTAATCGGAGAAAGCGCTTCCACAACGCAAAGCAGTTCTTTCACAACATCCCTGTCCGTAGGGTTGGCAGAGCTAGGAACGGTTTCAATTTTCACACATTTTTTCCTCCTCAAAACTATTTAAAGAGGGATTTCAAAAGTAGATTAGTCTAATCTACGAACCCCTGAGCTGCTTGAACAAAAATCCATAGTAAGCGATTTCTGCGACAAAATGCGTGATCTTGTATGTCAAGGCAGCATATTTGGACTTTTGCCCGCTGAACTTCATATCTCAGATGTTTCTTCGAGTAAACAGGAGACACTGATGATGGTAATCTGTATTCGCAGTGAATGTGACCCTATAAAACCCTGGACTTCTGCTGCATGGCTTCAGTCTGGGGTCTTGGCTAATAAGGTCTCCTTGAACGAATACAGGACGCCAGGCACCCGATAGCATCGCTGTCGCTGTTCTTTTAGTCTGCACATGAACTTAAGGCAGGGTGAAGCCATATGAGGGACAGCATGTGGCCTGCATGTCTGATTAGAGTAACACTGAGGTAATTACATGGATGATTTTTACAGCTTGTAGTTCTGAGACCAGAAACATACTTACGCAAGTACGTAAATGTAGACGCTTGTGGAATACATTGCAAGTTATATACTATTAAACACTTCTTTGAAGTGAAAAATTAGTATAAATATTAAAGTAAATTAGCCTTCAAGTACATCTGAAGAAAAAAAAATTGTAATTAAAATTAATTATTCAAGACAAGAAAACCGTACTATATAAAAAAAAAGAAGAGAGAGAAACCAATTACAAACAACTGAACAAATAAAAACAACAGAACAAAGACACGATTAATGAAATCAACAGTGCTTGGAGTATGCTGGGTGTTTAAAGGGGTCCTATTATGCTCTTTGGGGGTGTATTGTAATTAAAATTAATTATTCAAGACAAGAAAACCGTACTATATAAAAAAAAGAAGAGAGAGAAACCAATTACAAACAACTGAACAAATAAAAACAACAGAACAAAGACACGATTAATGAAATCAACAGTGCTTGGAGTATGCTGGGTGTTTAAAGGGGTCCTATTATGCTCTTTGGGGGTGTACTAGAACAGGCTCTCATACTAGGTTGTTAGCTTTGTAACTTTGCAGGTCTTTTTTATGCTCAAACAGCAACATTACAAACTAACTAAAGTTGAAAAAGTGAAAAAGCATAATAGGACCCCTTTAACACAAATAAACAGTCTGAAACTGAAAAAGTAATTAAACGGAAAATACAATTATACACCGATACTTAAATTATTGGCAAAGGGGGTTTGTAATTAAAATTAACAATAAAAAGTATTTTTTTTAACTTTTGGCCTAGCTTGTGTATGTTCAACAATGAAACGACTATTAAAAAGTTATCCATCCCGGAGCTATGAGTGTTTTTCTATTTATCTTGTCAATACTGTTGTTTGATTAATATGACTGACACAATAGAGAGTGACAGGTCTATTGTAGAAACATTAGGAATTGTTCTGTTCACTGTTTTCACTAAGAAAAAAATGGCAGAAAAATGCCTTGCAATGTCAATTCATATGTCCATGCAAATTTTATTGAAAAAATGCGCTGATCACTGAAATATCCAATTTATGTTCTGTAAAGCTCGCCTGAGTTAGCAACCGTAACCACATCAGTATTACTGATGCTGTACTGGCATTTCATTACTTACATTTTAGCATCAACTTTATACTATACTGCTACACTCTTAAAAATAAAGGTGCTTCAAAAGGTTCTTCAAGCGATGCCATAGAAGAACCATTTTTGGTTCCACAAAGAACCATTCAGTCAAAGGTTCTTTAAAGAACCATCTCTTTCTTACCTTTTTATAATCTGAAGAACCTTCTTTCACCACAAAGAACCTTTTGTGAAACAGAAAGGTTCTTCAGATGTTAAAGGTACTTTATAGAACCATTTAGACAAAAAGGTTCTTCTATGGCATCGTGAAGCACCTTTATTTTTAAGAGTGTACTTTTGAAATCCCTAGCACTCCCATACACAAGGGGGAAACAAGAGTTACTGTCAAATCTGTGCCATTAAACTGGATTACCAGTTATTATTTACAGTAGGTAGTTAGCCATAAACGTGAAACTTATTCAACTTTTACTATGCCATGACAGGAGTTGACCTGATGAACGCATTGTTTTTTTGCAAATATCTGCTATAGTGCTACACTACAATACTGAGAATGAAACCTGTGTATTATAAATCACACAGAAATGTATAAAAGCATTGGAAAATGTTTAAACTCAAGCTAGAAGTGCCTGTTTACGTACTTGCATAGTGTGTGTTTCAGGCTAAAATAAAGGCTTGAAAACGGTTATGAGTAAGAGATAGAGTTAGTCAGAGAACACAGAAAGACAAAGTAATTGTTAGGCAGAAAAGTACTAGTAAAGACAAAGAAAATAACGATAGAGGAACAGCGTCTGGAAAAGGACGCAGTCCGTGCTCTAAGAGAAAGCCTGGCTGATTTATGAGGATCTTTGATTCATTTTCTTTTCCAGAGTATGCGGTGCCCTTGTCCATGCTTTTGACAGTTGTGTTGAGATCTGTATCAGCGGGCCACCGCAGCCATGACATTTTACAAGCTGTCTCAAGATGATCCAATCTTTCAGAACCCAGCTGGACAGACTTAAGCTCCTCAGTCAAGACCAGCAATCTGATCAACCAGAGAACAACACCTCACACGGACACAGGAACCAACTCACTTCAACCACCAGCACAGAGGAAAACTAGAATAACACATCCCCTTTTCAGTGATGAATTCCCATCGTTTTTTCATTCCAGTCATTTAAAAATCATTCTGATTCAGACCAGTTCACTACTGAATCATTCAGGCCAATTTGGGCATCTCTTTAATTCAAAAGAATGACGTTTTTTTGAACAAGTTTTTTCTCTATGCAAGAGCAATAGCAAACTTGCTAAGTTGTTAAGCTGATATTCACAAAATACACGACTTTTACAATTTGATTAATATCCATGACTTTTCCAGGCCAGGAAAACACACTTTTAAAACTCCCTGATATTTCAGGTCTTCCATGACCGTGACAATGGTTGATTTCCTCCTGTTGAAGAACTGAATTATTATTCAGCACTGTGCAGCTTTGCTCTCTGAATTGCTTCCACTGGTGCTGGACTGACATTTTATCACACGTGTAGGAACCCGTCAATTAAATTACAATTTGCTTTTTATCCTGCTCCTGACATTCTGATGCAATACGCATCACTTAGTGAACAAATCCGTGGCTTATCCATGGGAGTGCTATCTGAAGCCTCGTGGATAGAGTTACAATCCTGCGGGAGAAGACACTTTACCTGGACCTGTAAAACAGAGGTGAAGGTCTTGGCATCCTCTGCAACCCCACCGAGGTAAAAGGGCTTAGTGAACTCAGGAGGATGGTCGTTCTCATCCTGCACATCGATGAAGACCTTTGCGGTGTTGCCTGAAAGAAAAAAAACTAAATATAAAATGTTGATCAAATGAAGTGAGGACGTATAAGGCATACAGAACATCCAAGAACATGTCATAGCATGTCTCTGATCTTTTTTTTATTACAAAAGTTATATACAAACCAGTGAAATTTTTGTGATTTCGTATTTTGATTGACATTTAATAAACATCAAAATAATATTTTGATCAGCGGAAGAGATAGACCTTTTCTTCTGTATTGAAACATACATCAGAGTCAAAACGATTATCGAAAAAGAAAGGAGGCAGATCTGAATGTGAGCTTGCAGTCAATTGTAAGATTAGCAGAGTTTAATCGGACTAAATGATTGGAGAATGACACTGTTTCATCAGATGATGTCATTTTTGATTAACATTTATTTACATGTATTAGTATCATTATCATTTAAATGAATCGTTCACAGTAAGATCCATTATATGCATTTAGAAAATAGGGTGACTTTCCATTTCATGCCGACTTTAAGCTTGACAAATGCAGTCAACACAACAGTAATTTGATTTTTTTTTTAAATGTCTTAATTAAAACATAGCTTTTAACTCCAATGAAGTAAATATCAATTCAACAAATGTCAAAAATGATGATATTTTTGTATGATTTCTCATTTCAGAGGTAATAAAACTAGCATTAAAAGTTTTAAACTATTCACGTGTTTAAAACTACCTATTTTTCATGCCAGTCCTCAAAACATGCCTCGAAGCTATTACAATCAAATTCAGGAGATCATCAAAACTCTGCTCTTCACACTCCGTTTTGCACATCTAAGCTGCTGAAGTACATTTCTATATGGAGCACAGCATTTCTTCATCAAGTCCTTCAAGACTATCATCTGTCACTTCTCAAAGTAAAAGGCAGAGTCATATTTTGTGGGGGTATGAGAGCAACAACACGATTTATCATCTGACAGACTTCAGCGCTCATGCCAAGGGGTTTCCAGAACCTTCTGCTCATTTCTGCACAGTCACTCCGAGTGGAGTGCTGAAGCATCACAGCGCAGAGCAGAAAGGGAATCCTTAACCACTGGACAGCAATAAATCCAACAACAATGAATAACAATAGGAAATTAACCACCTGAAAACATAAAGGAAGTGTTTTAAATAATATACTGACTTTTTGCAATGCTTTTGTCTGCTACTACAATGTAAAGTCTTAAAATTTTCTTCATTTGGAGACTTTTCTCAGCGAGATATTGATCTATGAAAACATTATGATTAATTTGATGAATTAACCGGCATACTATGCAATTAATTTAATGACAATTTTAAATCAATTCACAACCCTCATATGCGTATGACTACTCCATCTAGATAGTCATGAGACCCATGAGGTCTTATTTAAAACAATGACTTAGCAGCTCTCGCAAGCACACTGACAAGATATAATTAATTAAAACTTGCATTAAACAATCAATAAAATCCACTAAGCTGACAGACTGACTGGACGCAACTAATCTTTTGATTTTACCACCAGGTTTGCGTACTTGGTATATTAAAGGAGAAAAAAGAAATCAATATCCATAACTGTCTAATCTGGTTAATCATGAATGCTTTTCTCAAATAATGATTTTCCATAATCGACTCCACATGGAAAAGATGGACAAGCAGCCGCCCATCCCCCATGTTAACGGAACGCGAGATGACAGGAAGTAATTTACACATTTTTATTACACTGAGATGACATGCTGGAAAGGAGGCGTTTTATTCACTCCAAATTAAAAAGCAAAAACACTCTGAACAAGCTTTTAAGCCACATAAAATGTCCCAGGGTCAAAAGCAGACCCATACGGAATGTTCTTTATTTTGGATAATTTGACTGATGTGTTCAGAAATGTGTTCTAAGGCTACGTCCACATGAAGCCAGAGCTTTCCCTATTCTATCTACCCCCCTCCTCATCTCAAGAAATATCTGCGTCCACACGAAACCACAAAACCGACACAAAACGATGTAGTATACATGCCAGACCAGTATGTGGCGCTGTAATTCTGCCACAGAGATACACTAAAAACGGAGAAGACTTGGACCATGCGCATAAACCTTGAACGCTGTATACAAACGAACATGGAACAATACTTTTATTAATCCGTGTTAATGTTAGTTAATAAAAAGACAATCGTTCAGTGTTTGTTCATGTTTTTGTTGCTGTTATGTGACGTAGCGGTGTCTGACTAGGGGCGAGACGTGGGCTGATGACGTCATAGTTTCAGAAAATATACGGATTCGTTGTCCACATGAAAACGCAAGGGCGGTGTTTTCAGATTTATCCACTCTGGAACCCGGTTTCAAAAAATATCGGTTTCACTCACCCAAAACGCCGGATCCGTGTGGACGAAACGCCTACACGATACAAAATGTATGCGTATACAGCTAAACGAGTCTCCGTGTGGACAGGGCCTTAAATTCCTTTTAACACATTTGATGGTTAAATCTGTTCTGAATTTGAGTTTAGTTATCATTTTTGCGTAAAAGGGTAAAGGGCAGTTCACACAAAGAACAATAAATGTAAAGATAACTATAACTATATTAGCGTCCACACCAACAGATAATAAAATTCTGTTTATTATAAGCATGAGCTGCAGTTTTGTCATCTGACAATTTAAAGGTGCACTAAGCGATTTTTGCCAAGCACCGATTGAAAGCACCGAAACAAACACGCCCATACCCCAACAGGACCTCGCCCCTATTTTTATATTTCCGCCCCACACGTACGCACACAACCCTGGCATAACCACGGTTGCGGAAACAAGCGAAGATGACACACAAGCGTATTCAAACAAAAGCCAACACGGATAAGTTGTGTGAAACAAAGCAAAATCAACGTTACTCACCTATCAAGAAGAAACAATGCAACCTTGGTGTACGATTCGAGCCCTTGAGTTTCTCTCCACCGCTGAAAAGCTGCTCTGATATTTACGCGGGTCCTACCTCTTGCTTGGTCATCGTAACCCTTCTTTTTAATGTTTTCCTCTTTTTTTATCTTCCATTTCTCTCTATCTATAATCAATCTGCTAGTATCCGTCCTGTGCACTCAAACTGAGCGCTCTCTTCTCACTATCATAACAAGACACGCCCCTTACTGCTGATTGGCTACAAGTGTGTTTCGTTAACGTTATAGTTGTAGTGTTAACTTCTCATAGAGATTCATAGTTATCCATGGTATGAACAGGCATTAAACTCACTTTTGGATGGGGCTCGTAGGTTGGATGACACCACCCTCATGGAGTCGGCTTCCACACGGAGGACGTAACTGCTGTTGCTCTCGTAGTCCAGTGGCTTGGCAGTGCTGATAACTCCAGTGATGTTGTTCACAATGAATTCACCTGTGGCAACAGGAGAAAGACAGCAGGTTTGTTTAATTGCTATTGTACAACAGCTTCACACTGAGATAACACACAGAGTCAAAATTATGCATTTGTAACCTTACATATTTATTATAGAGTGGGAATATTGAATGTCCGGAAAAAATAAAAATAAAAATAAAATCCTTTGTGATTGTGTAGTACAGATTGCAGAAATAATATACTTTAAAATAACATAGGCCTACTTAAGTCTAAATTGAATTGAATGTTTTTTGGATGCTTAATTGCATGTTATTTATAATTAATTTACAATGTGTTGTAGTTTAAATTTGTATTAAATGCAATTAGTCCTACTTAAGAGTGCTTTTTGACCCACTTAAGTACATCTCTATATGTAAATTCATAACTACTTTTGTTGTTGAAATATGGTAAAAGTGTACTGCCGAATACTGACACACATTTATAATAAACTAAAATATACTTTTGTATATTAAAAATTACACTTTTTTTAAATGGAGTCGCAATTTAGTACATTTAAAACATATTAACTTGTTCATTTGTATTAAATGCCAAGTTCTGTCATGAAACTCTAGATGGCACAGGCTGATGGGTTGTTAACGCAAACTGATGATATTCACAGCATTAAACTACTAGGCACATGCTGATTGGTTCATGTTGCATATGCAGCCAATGAGCTTACTGCTTTACGTTTAAAGGGCTGGTTAGCGTTCACTAGAGAATTTCACAGCACACTTTCAGAGTTCCTCCGAAACCATCCACCTTCCCCAGCTCCACCTGTATAAATCTGTTATGGGTTATTTTATATGCTATTCATGAGGCAGGGGTATGGCTTAAATACTGACAGCACGTATCGGCGTATGTATTTGCAGTAGCTAGTTCCTGTACTTATAATTATACAATAATCTACAAGAATAGCAATAGCCTACAGCAGCAGCAGATCTATTTCATCAAGACCAAATACATTAACATTGTCATATCCATTACCATGCTAAAATCTTCAGAAAGTTGTAAACTAAGTGTAATACAAAACACTACAGTTAAAAGTACTTTAGTATGCTAATCATATAAGTGAACTTCTTTAAAAGCACAACAAAAGATTAAAACAAGGTTTTAAAATGTAGTTTAAACTTTTATTTTGGCTTTTTTACAAAGTACACTTTTTTAGTGTGCTAAGAAACACATAGTCATTGAAGTGTACTTTAAGTACACTAAAATAGTCCTATATTTAATTAATAAATTGATTACCTGCAAACACACATTCAGAAGTACACATTCAGTACGGTTAAGCTTCTGGGATGAAATGAAGTACCTTTCATTTTTAAAGCATTCTCTAGATTGTATTCACTGGATTATCCAAAATAGGGATTACCATATGATTCTTTACTATATAACTAATTTTCCCCATTGCATTTACAGGGGTCAAATAACTATATTGTCAGCTATACCTTTACCATAATATGACATTACTCAATCAGTAATTCTTGGCCTGGCTAAGTCTAGGTCTTACAACTCATCCCTTCCCCGCTTCCGTGTAGCGTATCGTTAATGCACTTAGCTATATTGGGATTTCAGGTCCAGAGTGCACTACCCACCTCTTGAGTCTCATTAACATTCATAAAGGATTAGCTCTGATCTTGGGTGATGTCATCGCATTAAGCGCCTTGGATCCAGGCGGTTTGAAGGGTGGAATGATTACCTTATTCTTCCTGGATTTTTATAGTTTGCACTAATGAAAACAGGCCTTTGATTACCTATCTACGCTTCTTGATTCTGCCTAATGAGAATGTACCGAAACGATTTCCCCATCGCTTTAAACCCGCGCCAGATGTATTCAAATGTGATTTCGGCTGAACACATTCTGAACAGAGAGGATTTAATCACGCACACCTCCCTCTTCCTGCTTTCGCTTGCTCTCCGATGACACACGGCAACAGGAAGTGCGCTCCTTCAAACGAAACCTTCTCTCTCACTGAGCTTTTGATAACTTGCAGCTGACAGCCACCTAAGAAACACCGTCTAGGAGTCTGCGGGCTGTCATTATCCAGAGCTTGATGTCTTACAAACTATAATTTATTACAATACAATAATATCCAGCTCATAAAACACCAGTGTGACATTTCCCGCAATCTTGTCTTTTGTTTTTTTTTCCTTGAGGAGGGAATAAACCGTAGTCTGGTTGAACTATACTCTTGTATGTATGAGAAATTCCAGTGATGGTTTAATTGCATGCACTTTCTGCATAATTTTAGCACCTTATGCTCTAAACAAATTATGCAAATCTGGTTAGCGCTCACCGCCCTCATTTCCATCGATGATGGAGTAGACGATGGTCTGGTTTATGGCTGCCGCCAAGATGACTCCTGCGATCGTTCCCACAGGGGCATTTTCGCTGACCGGAGAGAACCTGCACATACAAAGTGCACTGCATTAATGATAAATCACAAATCATACACAATAAAACAGTGATTCTGGTGGGTCATGGCACCGATATATACTGGGAATGTAAAAGTAAAATAGAGCAAAAGTAACTCTTTAAAAGGGGTCATATGATGCGATTTCAAGTTTTCCTTTCTGTATGACCCCTTTAAACTTTGGGGTCAGTAAGTAAGTATTCATTTATTTGTTTGAATGAATTATTTAGCAAGGATGCATTATATTGACCAAAAGTGACAGTAAAGACCTTTATAATGTTACAAAAGATTTTTATTTAAAATAATTCACAAACATATAAAGCAGAATATTGTTTTATTTAACATTGATAATAAGAAATATTTCTTGAGCAGAAAATTAGCATATTAAATTGATTTCTGAAGGTTTCTGATGACTAAAAATAATGACTGCTGAAAATTCAGCTGTGCCATCACAGGGATAAATTATATTTTAAAATATATTAAGACAGAAAACATTCCATTTTAAATTGTAATAATTTTGTACAATATTACTGTTTTTACTACATTTTTTAATCAAATAAATGCAGACTTGGTGAGCATAAAATACTTTTCATAAAATACATTTAAAAAACATTAAAAAATCGTAACAATCCCAAACTAGTGCCTATTAAAACTGTACTAATTAATTATGTAAAGAAACGAAGAACAATAAATAAATAAACAAACAAATAAATTCTGTATAAACTGTATATGCATTTTTTTTTTTGTATTTCCTAGAATCTAACCCATGACCTTGGCATTGCTAACTCTTTACTATTTGAGCTACAGGCAATGTTTAAAAATACAGTACAAAAGCCTGAGGGTAAGAAAGCTTGGCCATGGGCATTCAAAACCGTGCATTACAAGAACCGCTGAAATTGCAAAAAGTGCAAATAAATGAATTGACTGACAATCTAAATGCTGCATTTTTTGCTGCTTGATATAAATGCACAGTAGGCTATTCAGCACTATCAAACTGAATTAATATAGGTATAGGTCTATACATATAGGTCTGACAGAGAATCAATGGACAGACAGCATGATTACTTCACATTCTTAAATCAGGCGGTCAGCTTACCCGTTTCATTTTATAAAACAAACTCAATTAATTTGAGCTGTTAAGGATTCCAGTTTATAATTACCAAGACAAAATTCACAGGAATTTAATCAATCAAGAAGTTAACTGGATCACAGTGTTAATTGGGCATCCTGCACAGTTGCTAAACTAAGCAGAATAAAGAGTGTTAATGGAAAGCAAGCGTGGGAGTGAGCAGATCTTTACCTCAGATAAACCCAACAGCCGAACTGATCCATAATGAAACATATGTTCGAAATCAGCTGTCGCTTTCCAAGCACAACATACAACATTACACTTCAAATCATATGTTGGAACCAGTGGGTGAGAAAAGCATGATTTGGACTATTGACAAATAATCATTTTGAAAGATTAAGGAGTCACGGTGGCTTTCAGAGACAGTGTGACACTTTTTCCTTCTGTATTAACATTCACTTCATGTAATTTTAGCACAAGTAGGCAGTGCTAGTTTGGGATCAGTTGTAGCGGTATTTGGCCATACAATATTGGGTTCGGGCACCAGGGGTAAAAACCATACCAGTGATTAGTTCAGTTACGATGTAAACCAGCACTATAATATGTATTATTAAATCAAGACAAGCAACAACCAGGCAATAAGTTGTAACTCATGTCTATTCAACTTCAGCTCAGTTCATTATACACAGTCCAAAAGGTGAACAAGCAAACAAACAACAACAAACAAAAAAACAACAATAGTTCCAGGCCAAGGAACATTTACTGTACCTTACACATTCATAACAATGGGTGAATTATTTCAGAGTAGATAAGTATATGTCCACAAAGTAATGACCAAACTCCAAATTAACTAAATAAACCTTATGAGAACATAAAGCATTTATTTTAGAAAAATGAAAACAAAAAAAACCCTCTAACTTTTCAGATTTTAATCCATCCACATTACAATACGCCTCAACATATGCACATTATAGTAGACTTCAATATATGCATGTTATCGTAGACTTCCGCACTTGCACATTATAGTAGACTTCAATATATGCACATTATAGACTTCCACACTTGCACATCACTGACGACTGTCACACATATACTGTATATCTATGTCATTAAAGACCATGTTTTCAAAGCAAAACTGCAAAAACAGTTTTCAATACTGATAATAATAAGAAATGTTTCTTGAGCATATTAGAATCAGCATATTAGAATGATTTTTAAAAGATCAAGTGACACTAAAGACTAGAGCAATGATACTGAAAATTCAACTTGGTCATGACAAGAAAAAACACATTTGAAAATATATTAAAAAATAGCAAACAAGCTATTTTAAATGACTGTCACACATATACTGTATATCTATGTCATTAAAGACCATGTTTTCAAAGCAAAACTGCAAAAACAGTTTTCAACACTGATAATAATAAGAAATGTTTCTTGAGCATATTAGAATCAGCATATTAGAATGATTTTTAAAAGATCACGTGACACTAAAGACTGGAGCAATGATACTGAAAATTCAACTTGGTCATGACAAGAAAAAACACATTTGAAAATATATTAAAAAATAGCAAACAAGCTATTTTAAATGGTATTAATATTTCTCAATATTACCGTATCACATGAATGCAGCCTTGATGCACTTCATGTTAATGTTTGTTTTTAAATAGCTTATTAAATCTACTAAAGTTAACCAGCCAAAGGCAGCGAGGTTTTTTAAAATTCTTTTTCATGTCAATATTGTTGTTAATATTCCTTAATTACCAATTTTGTATGTGTGCAAACTAAAAGGCCTCTGGTAAATTCCTGCATGTCTTTTTATTTTAAACCAATATTAGTTATTAAAGCAGCATACATTAGATTTTGGAGTCTGGGTCACAGGAAGAAGAAAAACAATTTAGAATTAGAAAATAGAATTTATATTTCAAAATGTTATGTATAATTCAATGTGTTACTTGACAATTGTTTGTAATTAATTGTGAAATTTACTAGCAGTTACAAGTGTAAATTGTTTCTCCACATTTATTTTTTCATAGTATCTCTGCACGCTATGGACCATGCGTTCAGCACACATTGTTTTATGGAAACTTAAAATGTTGTTGAAATATTCAGCCTTGCAAGGACATAGGCTTAGATTCAAAATCTTAAACCCCATTCACTGCCATTATAAAGCTTGGAGGAGCAAGGATATATATATTTTTTTACATAACTCCGATTGTATTCGTCTGAAAGAAGTGAGGGTGAGTAAATCGTGGGGTCATTTTCATTTTTGGGTACTATCCCTTTAACAATTGACAGTACACTCTAAAAAATGCTGGGTTAAATCCAACCCAGTGCTGGGTAAAATAGGGACAAACCCAGTAATTGGGTTGTTTTGACCCAGGGTTTCAGCACTGGGTTGGATTTAACCCAGCATTTTTTAGAGAGAGACAAACTGAACCTCACTGTCCTCACAACCTCACAAGTCTGCTGCTTTTCAAAACCAAGAGCATATAAAGAGAGAGGTGAAAATCTCCAAGTCAGAACAAGTGTTTTCTCCTATCGAATTCAACAACTCGGACAAAACACCTTCAAGGACACTTTGAATACAAAAGCTAATAATCCCGTCACAGAATCGGCTGTTCAATGTTTTGCTTTTTCGTACATTGTGATGCTCACGCTCGGCTTGGTGACGAGGCAACCTTCATCCTGGTTTTGGAGTACTTGAGAGTTAGAGACAAACTGAACCTCACTGTCCTCACAACCTCACAAGTCTGCTGCTTTTCAAAACCAAGAGCATATAAAGAGAGAGGTGAAAAGCTCCAAGTCAGAACAAGTGTTTTCTCCTATCGAATTCAACAACTCGGACAAAACACCTTCAAGGACACTTTGAATACAAAAGCTAATAATCCCGTCACAGAATCGGCTGTTCAATGTTTTGCTTTTTCGTACATTGTGATGCTCACGCTCGGCTTGGTGACGAGGCAACCTTCATCCTGGTTTTGGAGTACTTGAGAGTTTGCTGTACACAGGCTTACAGGGTGATTTGTCTCCCCTGGGCTGCGGCATGGAAGATACACAGGCTTTTGTTATTCAGAAAGATGACAGAGTACCTTACATATAATCCTTGAATATGCACATCGACATGTTCTTCCTGTATGGCGTCGTCCTATTGCTCGGTGCACGGTGTGCTGTGCTTGCAGATAATAGAGAAAAAAACACTCTTGTACTTTGGCGCTCTTGCTGTTTTGACAGCGCTCTAATGGTCACTCCACACAAGCACATGCTCAAGTGTTCGACACTAATGAGGTCCACTGAGCCGGCAAATGCATCCTCGCAACCCCCTTTCCAATGTCATTATTTTTTCCGGCCACTTTTTTTGTAACCGGGACTCTGCCCCTGGTGTCCAATCAGGACTGAACTGCGTTTAATCCAAAAACTGAGGATGGGCCACCGGGCAGCTTCTAACTACTTTTCCGTTTGTTTCTTGTATTCTTTTCTGTTTGTTACTCAAAATAGCAATTCGGAACATTTGGCCTCTTCCCATGGAGGCATAACGATTGTGGTACTCCTAGATCACAGGCTTTTTCATGTAGATTTGCTGTTTTACTTTGATGACGTGAGACGCTTGGAACGGTCGAAGTTTAATCCCTGTATCAAGTTCTTTGATCTCAGTCTTTATACAATGAGTACAAACCACAGGTCTCCAAAGGCAACACATAACAGCTATCGATAATCCTGCTATTTAATAAAACACACAACACTTGTTATTCAGAATATCTACATCAATCTGCACGAATACAAATTCATTTTAAGGTAAAAGATTCTTTATGAATCAAAGCCAACCATCTTCTGTTGAATTCCCAAACATAGGAGCTCTGGCAACACAAATGGATCTGATTTTAATTGCATGACATTTTGGAATACCATATATACTTATCTGAATAG